GCCCCACAGGGAGCTCCACCGAAGCTTCATTTCGGCGGACACCTCTCGAGGATCGTGGCCCTGGCCCCACAAGGAGCTCCACCGAAGCTTCATTTCGGAACGCCCCTCTCGAGGATAGTGGCCCTGGCCCCACAGGGAGCTCCACCGAAGCTTCATTTCGGCGGACACCTCTCGAGGATCGTGGCCCTGGCCCCACAAGGAGCTCCACCGAAGCTTCATTTCGGCACGCCCCTCTCGAGGATAGTGGCCCTGGCCCCACAGGGAGCTCCACCGAAGCTTCATTTCGGCGGACACCTCTCGAGGATCGTGGCCCTGGCCTCACAATGAGCTCCACCGAATCTTCATTTCGGCACACCCATCTTGAGGATCGTACCCTTGGCCACACAGGGAGCTCCCTGGCCCAACAGGGAGCTCCCTGGCCCAACAGGGAGCTCCTTGGCCCAACAGGGAGCTCCATGGCCCAACAGAGGTGGATCCACCACTAATAGGATTGTAGTAGAGGTGGATCCACCACTGATAGGATTGTAGTAGAGCTCGGTCCACCAGCAATAGGATTCTATTAGAGCTGGATCCACCAGGAATAGGATTCTATTAGAGCTGGATCCACCCCTCAGGATATGATAGGACTCCGTAGATTCCGGAGCTTCGCTGGTGCAGAAACGGCAAAATGGCATGGAGGATGAATCCACACCTTTAAGCGAGCAATTCGCCAGCGGAGCAGGGAACGAAGCTCCTGGTTGCTGGTTGCTGGTTGCTGGGGGGGGGGTCCGAACCGGCCAATGGGGCACAGACGCGCGGTTCCGCCTTAGGGAGGAACGCGGGGAACGAGGTCTGGGACCATGGGGCACTCACGCGCAGTTGTTCCTTGTTGTTTTTGCTGTTTCTGAGTTATCACCATTGAACGACTCATTATCGTTGAACTCCCCTCCGGGGCACATCTGTGTTTTTCAATTGAGGTGCCCTGCCCGGGGTTTGCACCTGGTTTTTTAAAAGGAAATTGGGGGTCACGAAACTAGGCACCTGGCCCTCGAGTTGCAACAACAACAACAACAACAACAACAGCAGCTCCCGCCTGAAACTTCTGCATAAGCTACTGCGAAATCGCGCTCTCGCGCGGAGCATCTTCACAATGTATGCAGAAGTCGCTCTTGCGTGGAACTTCCCTGCAGTGTATTCAAGCGCCGCGCCCTCGACACTCAGGAATCACGCTCTCTCTGTGGATTTCCTCACGATATATTTGGGAATCGCGCCATCGCTCGAGACTTCCTCGCGCTTCGTGCAGTCATCATGCTTAAAAGCCTTCTGCTCGACCTGGCCGATTGGACCCGCCTTCCCGATCCGCCCGTTAGGGTCTATCTGCCCGCCTGGTTTTGCCACGTGTTTTCTCCTCCTTGCTCCTCTCCTGCCAATCCCGTGTTCCATCCTCCTCCCTCCATCTTGCCCACTCCTTCCATCCATCCTCTTTTCCCCTGCCTTGGGGGCTGCACGAAATACACGTTGCAGGTAAGATCTATACCCCCAAGCGGGTACGATCGAAGACGAAGAGGGCGGGTATCGAGGGTTCGGGACATACGTGTTGAATGGCCCGCGAGCAGATAAGAGCGAATCGTCTCAAGATGATTGTTGTTGTTGTTCCTGCTGTTGTTGTTGATGTTGTTGTTATTGTTGTTTTTGGTGTTGGTGTGTTTGCTGTTGTCGTTGTTGTTGTTGCTGCTGCTGCTGCTGTTGCTTGTCCTTTGTTGATGTTTGTCTGTTGTATGTTGTTTGCTGTCGTGGTTTCCCCGCGACCCATTCGTGACCCACCTGCGACCCACAAGCGACCTACCCGCGACCCACGCCGCGACTCACCCCGCGACCCACCCGCAACCTACCCGCGGTCCACCCGCGACCCACCCGCGACCCACCCGCGACCCACCCGCGATCCGGCCCGCGACCTACCCGCGGCCCACCCGCGACACGCCCACACTGGTGCATCGAAACAATCGACGCTTGCGGCGGGCTCACCGTATAATTTGAAACTTGGCACCTGCTGTAAGCTTCCTCACAGCCTCGCAGACTGCCGACGTCCCCGCCGCCCCATCACTTTTAACCGCACTTGCGGGGTGCTACGATGTATTGTGAGGATGTCTCAAACGAAACGCCCAGTCCAGCCTACGGATACGTTTGGTGGCTTGACTGAGGGAAGTTCCGAGCAGGATGAGGATGCATGGGATTGGTAAGGCGAAGGAGGCGGATGAGGAGGAGAGGAGGATGAGGAGGAGGAGGAAGAAGGATGATTGCTGATGGAGGGCGATGAACTGCGGAGGGGAGGAGAACAAGCAGGAGGGGGAGGAGGCGGGGTAGGACGCCTGGCCCGGACAAAATCAAATCCCTAACCCTTGGAATCTTAGTCTCCCGTCATAGTCGATCCGCGGAGGCGAGGTGGAGGGCGCCATGCGGCCGCATCTTGGACGCTCTGACCCTTCGCGCCGCCTCCTCGTCCAGAACTGGGGGAGGCGGTCAGCGGGGGGCGGCCCCCCCCCCCCCCTTGGAACACGAGCCTCCCCGGACATCCGATGTCGTGCGTCTTCCATTGCCGGGCCCCCGAGCTGTCTTCTGACAGCCTTCGCGGCCTGGGCCCTAGGAGGCCGAAACGGGGGGAAAGCTCCTGCACCGACCCGCACAGCCGCCGATACGACTTCTCCATGCTCGGTCCCCAAGGTCCCGACCCCTTCCCCAGGGTCAAGGTTTCGCCCCGGGTCCATCTATGCTGGTCCCGGGATCCAGAGGCCGAAGTCGAAGGAAAATTACCGGACTGTGGGGGACCTGGGGACCTGAGGAGGAGGAGGAGCCGAAGAAGGATGAGGAGGAATAGTAGTAGGAGGATGTGGGGAAAGAATAAGACGAGCAGGAGGAGGAGGAGAGAAAGGAGGAGGAGGAGGAGCAGGGGAGGAGGGGAGGAGGAGGAGAGAAAGGAGGAGGAGGAGGAGGTGGAGGAGGAGGAGGAATAGTAGGAGGAGGAGGAGGAGGAGGAGGAGGAGGGAGGAGAGGGAGGAGGGAGGAGGAGGAGGAGGAGGAGGAGAGGAGGAGGAGGAGGAGGAGGAGGAGGAGGAGGAGGAGGAGAGGAGGAGGAGGAGGAGGAGGAGGAGGAGGGAGGAGGGAAGGAGGAGGAGCAGGGGAGGAGGGAGGAGGGAGGAGGAAGGAGGAGGAGGAGGAGGAGGAGAGGAGGCGGAGGAGGAGGAGGAGGAGGAGGAGGAGGGAGCAGGAGCAGGAGCAGGAGCAGGAGCAGGAGCAGGAGGAGCAGGAGGAGCAGGGGAGGAGGAGGCGGAGGAGCAGGAGGAGGAGGAGGAGGAGGTCGATCACGTCGACCGGGGGAGCAGGAGCAGGAGGAGGAGGAGGGGGAGGAGGAGGAGACGGGGAGTTCGTCGATCACGTCGGAGGTCTGGGCCCAGCTGCGCCCCGAAGCGCGCGCAGGCTCGCCGCCGCGGAGGCGGAGGCCGCCCGAGGCGCGGAGGCCGTCCCGGAGCTGCAGGAGCAGCTCCGCGCGGCCGAGGAGGCTCGGGGGCGGCCAAGAGGGGGGAGATGACTACAGTGGGGGCGCGCATCAAGAAACCATATGCTTTTCGTCAGGGTATCCTTGGTTTCTTCGCTCCGCGCGCTGCGCGGTGACTTCCCGCAGCCGTTAAAGAAGCTGCTGCGTTCAGGGTGCTCCGGGTCTCCCCTCAGGTGCACCTCGCGCCCGGGATTTCAGGGTTGGGTTTCTTGCGATGGTTTCTTGCGGCCGCGCCCGCACTGTAGGGTTCGGTCGGGCATGTCCCTCTACAGGAGGGATATTCAAAGATAGTCAAGAAATAGCCTGGGGGCGATATTCCGGCTACCTCTGGTTCGTGTTGCGGATCTCTGGAGTGTTCCGAACTGTTCTTCCAAAGTCCGCCTGTAGGAGGACATGCCCGACACAAGACTGGGGGCTGGGTGGGCCTCGTGGCGGGGGCCGTGCGATCTCCCCAGGCTGCATGGCGCCTCTCCTCCCTTCTATGCCGCCCTGTCCCCCCTCCCCTCCCTGGGCCGCGCTCAGGCCGCCGGCCACGCTTTGCGCCCCCCCCTCTCGGCGGACGCCCCCTCTCCCGGCCGCCCCCCGCGGAGGCGGCGGCTGGCCAGCGCGAGGCGTGGCAGGAGGCGCTGGGGGCGGCGGAGGAGGACCGGCGCCGCGGGCGCCCGAAAGATTCGGGGCTCAAGGTCGGCACGAACGGAGTGGGTAGGGAGAGAACGGGTACAATGCCCAACAGCAGTTCCTGCTCATTCCGAACAGGGCTCGCTGTCCACGCCGCCGCGGCCTGAGTCCATTCGAGGCAGAAGGCCGCCTGCCCAACAGCGGCCGCTGCTGCTTTGGGACAACGTGTTGTTGGGCATTGTACTCATTTTTTCCGTACCCATTTCGGGCGTCCAAACAAGAGACGGGGGTCCATGCAAGCGGGGGTCAGCCAGAGCGCCAGATTTTGCAGGATCTTGCAGGGCTAGGGTCGCATTGGCCCGGGCTTGGGCGCGGGATCTTGCAGGAACCTGCAGGTCGCACTGACCCGGGCTTGGGCGCAGGATCTTGCCTGATTCTGCAAGGCCTGACAAACCCGGGTCTGGATTGACCCGGGTCAGAAGATCCCCAGAAGATCAGAGAAGGAAAACGTATCCAATACCCAAGCAGTGGCGGGGCGTCTTGGCTCGCCTATAGGCTCACAAGAGAATGCTCTAAGAGCCTTTTTGTGATCTGCACAACATGTTCTGAGAACATTTCTGGCTGAGACTTTCTTGTTTTGACACGTCAGGTCCATGATCGAAGAACATCGTGTTTGTTTTACGAACATTTCTGGGTTCTAACAACATGTCGTGGCAGGCCTCTAGGAATGCGGGGACGGTCGGTCCCTGCTCAACCCATACCTCTACCCTTGCCTCGTTTTCCCTTTGTTGGGCCTCCTGGGCGGCGCTCGTCGCCACCGCTGGGTTCGCTTGGAAATCCTGTCAGAACGCACCCCAGGAGAGGTCTGGGGAGTAGCGGTATCGGTGCCTTTGGGTTTCCCCCAAAAGAGAGGCACGCGAAAGCCAGGGGCAGTCGTTACAGTCGGACCCAGGTATGAGATCGAGGTTCCTTCGGGGAGGGTACCATCATGTTTTGTCGTGCTTGTTGGTTGCTCTTGAGCATCCTGGGGAGGGTACGGTACCCTTGGATGTTCTGTGTCTTTTGGCCACCGGAGGGTCCCATGTTCTTGAGGAGTCTTCTTCTGGCCTAGGTCCGACTGCATTGGGGGGGATGCGGACGGGAACTCTTGATAATAGCGTGTCGCGCCACCGGATCTGGCCGTCCACGCTGCGGCGCGACACGCCATCCGCGTCCCGGTCCCCGACCGTAACGTCCCAGGCTTTTCCGAGCCTCCCGCCCCGCAGAGCAGAGCGTCACGCTATCCGCTTGCAGGGCATAGCGTTTCGCTGGGGCCGCCGCCGCGACACGCTATGTAAAAGTTCCCGACCGCAGGCTCAGATGGGGGCGCACGGACCCCCAATCGTCCATTGGTCGCCGCTGAGGGCCCGATAGCCCATCCCCGCCCAGGACCCTGCGGATTCGATATCGGGGGCCTGTCGCAGATCTACAGTGGAGGCCCATGCCAAGAAACACCCTGCCTGCCTCCAGGGTGCCCTGGGTTTCGATGGTTTCGATGGTTCTGCAAGGAAAGGCGTGGCGTTCCCACACCAAACATCCATGGACGTCCTGGGGTCTCAGGGTTGAGCTTCTTGGTCGGGCCTCCACTGTATCGAGGCCAGTCATTCTCGGTGATGGTGGCCTCTGTTTCGGAGAAACGAATACGCAGCAACTCGAGTTTGCCGACGCTTGTTGACGAGCGTGCCTTGGATGTTGGCGGTGCAGTTTTCGTAGGATGTCTGCAGCGGGAGCTCGCGTCAAATTTCAGATTGGGTCAAGTCATTTTCATGGTGGCCCCGTCATGCCAACCCGAGTCCCCAAACCCGAGTCTCACGTCTCCCCGACTGTTGTTCCTCTGACAGCAGCTTACGGAGCACCCCTGGGCCTGGAGGGGCTCCAAACTGGCGCGAACAGCTGGGGGCACCGCGGGCTCAGGGACTCGGCAAACCCTGCTCCTTTGCCACGTCCCCCCCCTCCCCTCCCGCCTCTTCCCAGGCCTCCCACGCATTAGCTTATACCAGAGAATTACCCCAGTGCGACCCTACCTAGAAGTTGGAGCCCCTAGGAAAGCAGCATTAGTTGCCATGCTATGCTATGCCATGCTATGCAGCACTATGCTATGCTATGCTATGCTGTGCTATGCTGCGCTATGCTATGCTATGCAAAGCTATGCTATAGCATGCTGCGCTGTACTATGCTAAGCTATGCTATGTCATGAAATGTTATGCTAAGCTGCGCTGTGATATGCTATGCTATGCTATGCTATGCCATGATATTATATGTTATGTTTGGCTATAGTATGCTATGCTATGCTATGCTGCGCTGTGCTATGCTGTGATGTGCTGTGCTATGCTATGCTGCGCTCTGCTATGCTGGGCTATGCTGTGCTGTGCTAGGCGACGCTATGCTATGCTGTGCTCTGCTATGCTACAGCTCAGCGAAGCTAAGATGAAGGTAAGCTAAGCTAAGCTAAGATAAACCTGAGCTAAGATAGAGCTAAGCTAATCTCTGATGAAATAAGCTAAGCTAAGATGAGATAAGCAACGCTAAGCTAAGGGAACGTCACTGGGGGAACCGCGGGGCGGATGCCGGGGGAACCGCCCGGGGCGTTTTGCACTGCCCGGCCCTTTAAGCATAGCGAGTAAGAACCCTTCTAGGCAGAGCCTAGGTAGGGAAAAACCCCAATAAGTAGATGGTTTGGTCGATCAGGAGATTGACAGGCAACCCGGAAAACCAGAACCCACCGAAATCGGCCCGGAACCACTATCCAGGAACCCAGGAACTCGGGAACCCTGGAACCCAGGAACCCAGACGGCCACCAAAATCGGCGGGATTTTTTCCGCTACATCTTTCAATTTCCGCTAGGGCCCCTTTCAGTGCAAGCACTGATTGGGGAAGAGCTCGATGCGGGAGTTTTCCGCCCCCTGTCGGCCTCTGGGTGCCCTCGCCAGGCCCTGCAAGCCTTCCAAGGAATGGCTTGGGAGGGAAGACGCCGCCCCTGCAAAGAGGGGTGGGAGTTCCAAGGGACCCGTAGGGAAAACTCACGACGTCGGGTCTGGATCTCCCCCGGCTCCCCCCCCCCCCCCCGCTCCTCTCGGGAGCCTTGAGACGGGGTCAATGCAAACGGGGGTCAGCCAGAGCGCCCGATCCTGCAGGGCCAGGGTCGCATTGACCCGGGTTTGGGTGCAGGATCCAGCAGGATCTTGCAGGATCCTTCGCACTGACCCGGGTTTGGGCGCAGGATCTTGCAGGATTCTGCAAGGCCTGACTGACTCGGGTCTGGATTGACCCGGGTCAGTAGATCCCCGACCCTCCCCTCCTTCTGCCCCCCCTCCTCACTCGAGTAGGAATGAGATCGACTACAGAATTGACTTACCCCAGACTTGAAACTTTCGTCGAGAATCTGCGAGAAAGGAGTAGGATGTTCGTAGACCTACGAACATTAGAGGTATTCTCGTAGAGTCGACTGAACATCCATTTTGGGGTAAGCCTATTCTGCAGTCGATCCTCTATTCGACCAGCGTCTTCAGAGGCGGTCTCCGAGGACGGAAGGAGGCCTCTGGGACGCCTCCTGTCAGAGCCCCGACTCCTCGGGGCTGGGGGCGCTCAGGGATAGCCTTAAGTTGGGCCTGCCCCTCTACAGAGGGAATATTCAAAAATATTCAAACAATTAGTCGGGGGACTATTTTTGAATATTTTCTGGCTATTTGGGGGCATTTCTAGAGTATTTTGAACTCTTCCTCCAAAATCTGCCTGTCGGAGGACAGGCCCGACATGAGGAGAGCCACAGATTCGCGCACCGGAGTTACCCCAGACCGCGGTTATCCCGGGCGTCCAGCCCTCCCGACTCATCAGGGTTGGGAGCAGTCAGGGGTCACTACAGATTCGAACCTCGGAGGCCCAAACCTTATTAATCGACCCCCCCCCCCTAAAAAACCGGACCCCCCTCCAACTGCGACCTAATATTCCGGACCCCCTCTTCGACGGGGCGCCTTTATAAACCAGACCCCCTAAGCTCCAATCCAAAGAAAGCGCCCTAATAAACCGGACCCACCCAGTTACAAGAAAGGCGCCCCAAAAACCGAACCCGGGGGACGATTCATAAGGGATTTTTAGTAGGGGGAGGGGGGAAGGCTTCTTAGAGAGAGGCTGCTTCTTGGAAGGCGCGGGCCTCCTAAGAAGCAGCCTTCTGCGCGCCGCCAGCCCTCTCCCCCCCCCGCTTCCTGGGCGAACCACCACACCCGCGGCCTCGCGAGCCGGGCCCCTGGGCCGCGACCACACGGTCAGGGGGCGCTGCTCCGCGGATACCCCCCGCGGAACGCAGCCGTGCGACCGCGCGTCCGCGGGAGCGCGCCCCGGAAGCCAGACCGCGAGCGTGCGGATACGGATCCGTTGGCCGCTCTCTCGAGTTTCCCCCCCGAGCTCTCTTTGCAGCATCCCGCTTTGGCTTTGCGACTCTACCCCCTGTTGCCGCTTCTCTTGCTCTGGGCCCGGCCAAGAGGAGCTCGAGGCGGCGCGGCAGACGCTCGAAGAGGCGGAGGCCCCGTGTGCATGCCTCTTCCTTCGGGCATCGTCCCCCTGCCCTCTCCTCCGTGCCTCTTCCTCCTGCCGCCGGCCTCGTCCCTCCAGGTGCCCTCCCCCTCCATCCCCTCAGAGATTGATAAACCTCCTACCCTGACACGTCGATTGAGGAATTGGCCGTTTTCGGTTCGCAAGAGGGCGTCGCGGCCGTCATTTTTTCGGGTCCAGGTCCGTCGGTTTCGGTCCCAGGTCGTATTCACTAAGGGGATGTGTACTAAAGGGAGGTTTGTCCCCCTCCATCCCCCCCTGCCGACCCCCAGGGGCCACTCCAGGTGCCGTTTCGGGTGCCCCCGTCCTCCTGGTTCTCCGCCCTTCCTCTCCTCCCCCTCCTCTTCCCCTTACCCCCTGAGATCCGACGTTGTGCAAAGTTGCCGCATCGCGAAAAATCACTGCCTGAGCCCTAGGCCCTAGTTCCAATCTTTCTGCCGCGCTTTTCGAGCTGGATCGGTCTGTGACGGCCCTGGGGCCCGCATCCTTGCGAAGGCGCCCACTGTGAACACAATGGCGACGCTCGGCTCTCAGGCCCTTCCTTCGGGGAAACGTAACGCTCGAGTAAGCCGGAACTCGGGTCTGCCGACGTGTTTTTGACGAGTGCGTCCTGGATTTTGACGGTCCAGCCTTCGTGGGATGGTCGCAGCTCAGACTGGGTCTCGTTGTTTTCATGAAGGCCCCGTCAGGCCAGCCCGAGTCCCCCGTGCCCGAGTCTTACGCCTCCCCGATCCCCCCTCCTCCTGTCGGGTATGACCAGGACCCCGGATAAGGGGACCCGGTTAGTGGTAGGGCCCTGGAGCCTTTGACTTGGCCAGAATCACTAAACCAGGTTTGCCATAGCTTGTGTTTTTTCGGGTGACGGCAGTTCCGGTTTGTGGAAATGGGACGGGGGGGCGCCCCCGGTACAGATCACTAAACCAGGTTCCATTAAACCCAGTTCTACCAATGCCCTCCTCCTGCCCCTCCTCCCCCCCTGCGCAGGCGGCAGGGCGGAGTCTGTTTTTGTATTCTCACATCGGGCTTATGTTCTAAGAACATGGTTTTTGTTCTTAGAACATTTTTGGGTTCTAAAAACATTTCGTGGTAGGACTATAGGAATGCCGGGACGGTCGGTCCCTGCTCAACGATCCCCCCTCCTCCTGCCCCTCCGCCCCCGCTGCGCAGGCGGCGGGCCTGGGCGAGGTCCACGATCTGCGGGCCCGGCTGCGGGCCGAGCAGGAGGGCGCGAGCGAGGCCGAGGAGGTGCTGCGGGGCCTGCAGGCGGGAGGAGGGCAGCGGGGGACCAGAGGAGTCGGAGGGAGGGGCGATTGGGTGTTGGTCGGAGGCGGCAAAGAGGGGGGTGATGACTAGGGGGGGTTGGATATCATGGCGTGGGCCATGATACTTCCCCAGATTTCATGGCGCCTCTTCTTGTTTCATTACGTCCCTGGCCCCCCCGCTGGGCCGCGCACATGCCGCCGGTCATGATTTGCACCTCCCCCTCTTGGACACCGCCCTCTTGGCCGCTCCCGAGTTGGGGGGGGCACAAGTAGGGAAACGAGCAATGACGTCAACTTCAAAATTCGGAGGTCCGCGCGGATTTCTCGAATCCGCGCTGGGGCCCCCTGGCGGCGCCTCCGGCGCCGCCCCTGGCGCGCTCCGCGCGACATGGAGGGGAGTCCGTCGTGGATCCGAGAAATCCGCGCGGACCTCCGAGATTTTATGTTAATGTCATTTTTGTTCCCCTAACAACGGATGTGAGATGCTCGGGGCGATGTCTAGGCCTCCTAGATGGGGTCGGAGTACATGTGGTCGGAGGATAGCGCCGCATCGCCGATGCAGCGGCGACGCGGCTCGATGCGGAGCCCGATTTGCTTCACGCCGACGTCGCCGATCATCGCCAGCGTCGCTGGTGCATCGCCAATGCATTGCCGATGCATCGCCGATGCATCGCTGATGCATCGCCGATGTATCGGTCATGCGGCGCGATCCTCCGACCCCATCTACTCCAACCCCATCTATGAGGCCTCTGGGGGGGACAACGGATGTGAGAGGCTCGGGGAACAAACATAATGGCACTGTGATGGCCATTGATGTGTTTCATGTTCATGCTTGTGCCATGGTTTTCGTCCTTGGATTGCTCCACTTGATGTCGGGGATGATGCGGGCGAGAAGTAAACGCCCGCTTTTTGCAAGGTCTGGGCGTGAGCGGCCGTGATCGGCTCTCTCTCTCTCTCTCTTCCCCCTCCTCCTCCTCCTCCTCCTCCTCCTCCTCCTCCTCCTCCTCCTCCTCCTCCTCCTCCTCCTCCTCTCCCTCCTCCTCCTCCTCCCCTGCAAGCATGACAAGTTCAGTGATGACTGGAAGCTTGTGGCGAGTCCCAAAGGCAAAATTCTTTGTCACCACTGCGGTTGCCATAAGAACCCCAAGGGAGCTAAGCACTGCAAGCACTGCGGCCAGAAGCTCGGAACCCGTCCCCATCAGCCCGAGGTGTTTGAGTCGAGCCTACGCTGGGAGGAAGAGAGGCTGGCAAGGGTGCTGGCAAAGCGGGGGAGAAAGGGAAGGGTGGAAAAGGTGAGCCACGGAAGGGCAAAGGACATGGGGGCTCCTCTCAGGCCCTTCCCCCAGGGCCCATCCCAGAGATACCTCAGTCCAAGGCGCTCGAGCTGCAGCGCATGGCTCAAGCGGCTGGCGACTCGGAAGGGGCGGCGCGCTATGGTGCGCTGGTTGAGCGTGCAGCCCCACCGCCCAAGCCATCAGGACGCCAGCGGCTCATCGAGGCAGGGCAGAAACAGGAGAAGTTGGAGAAGAAGCTCAACGCCGAGTTTGAGAAACTGCAGCGCTGGAGGCTGCCACAGAGGAGCTCGCGCTCACGGTCAAGGAGATGCGAAGTGAACTACAACGGGCAGATGCCGAGGTCGCCGCCACGCTCGCAGAATTCCAGAGCCAGCACAAGGTGCAGCCCGAGGGTGTGGAGGCCAAGCCGCTCATCAGTTTCCGCAAGCCCATTCAGGTCAGGTCAGGTCCGATCGCGCGCGGAGGCCGCACGCGCCCCACAAATGGAGACGGCGATGGAACAATGCAATGAGACACGCCCCTCTGATCAATCGAATACATGCATGAAAATTGCAGGCAGGCTACTGCGAGGTCATGAAGTCCACGAAGTCGTCCTCGAAATGTGCTTAATCGAACACCTCGCGTGCCATGAAATACTTTTGATAGCGACGTGGCGTGTTTGCTATTCAGATACTTGTTCACGTTATCTGTCCACCTTGTCCTCGGGCGTCCCCGGGGCCGCTTGCTTGAAAGAGGGAGCCATTTCATCACCGCTTTCGGCCACGATAAATCGTCTTGACAGGTCTTGTGGACGAGGCGCCACCGCAGTCTGTCAACGACCTGCTACCAGTCGGAAGCGGGGTGCTGCGACAGCGCGTTCTGAAGACGATGTTTGCAGCGTCTGCCGGCGTCCTCCCAATCTTCATCTGGCCGCTTCCAGAAGCCGACGATTTTGCGGAGCATGGCTGCTCTCGCGGCGGCAATCTGCGTGCGTTGTTGCTGTGTCAGCGCGCGCGCACGTAGCTAACTCGTACGTGGCTGTAAGCGAGACCACGCTGTCGAAAGGACGAAGCCGCAATTTGTCAGAAATGTTCTTGTTGGTCAGGACTGTCCGGCTGGCGTGGTACTTGGCCCACGAGCACTCCATGCGATAGATGACGTTGATGTTCGATCCATCCAGCATATTCCCAGAAAACTTCCGTCCCAAATATTTGTGCATGTCTGTCAAGCATTACGGGTCTGCTCGCCGAAGGGCACCGTCAGGGCATCCGCGGCCATGGAGTACCTGGGGTCGTTTGTGAAGACTTTGGTTTTGCTTGCGTGCAGTGCCAGCCCACATCTTGACAGCTGCTCGCGTAGAATCTCCAGCATAAACATTGCATCGCCAACAATCGTCGCATACAGCAACAGGTCATCTGCGTACCGCATGTTCGTCAAACGTTCTGGCCCCCCAACGTCAATGCCACTCCCACGAAGTCGGTCCTTGAATCGCCCCACGGCCTGCTCTAATCCACTGTTGAACAAGGGCGACGACAGCGCGTCTCCCTGCTTGACGCCCCTGATCTCGAAAAGCCCACTGCCGTTGACGCTCCCGCGCTGGTTGTGGTAAATGTCCGATAAGAGACGGATGCGTGCCGCTGGGGCACCCTGCTCGACCAACGCGTTGAACAGCAGCGGATGCTCGACGCGGCCGAAGGCCTTGGTCAAGTCGAGGCTGACAACCCACAGGGACTGCCCCCACGCGCATGATTTGCAACAGAGCTCCTCCAAAGCAATGAAGGCGTCATCAACTGACTTTCCCGGGCGAAACCCGCATTGGTTTGAACATTGCGACTGCTCGAGCTTTGGCTGAAGACGCTTGAAGAGCAGACGCGCGAACATTTGGTAAGTTATGCGCAGGATCGCTATGGGGTGCCAGTTATTGACCTCACGTTTGCTGCCGCCCTGGGGAAGCATGGCGAAGAGGGTCTCCTGCCAGTCTGAAGGAAGGGCGCCAGTGCGCAGCATGGAATTCAAACATCCCAGCATCGCTTGAAGCAGGCCGCCCCCGCAGTGGAGAAACATGTCCAAAGTGACCCTGGCTGAATCTGAGCATCTGCCTCGGCGCATTCTCCGGAGTGCGAAACGCAGCTCGTTCATGGAGAACCGTGGGATGTCACGCGGGCCTCGGTTGCACATCTCGTCGATCCATTCCCTTCTCTCCTCTGGCAGATCCGCGTTCAAAACTTGACTCGAAGAGCTCTTGAAATCGTCGTCGTCGATCGGGCAGCGCGCCTTCGGCCTGACCGGGTGCATGTGGTTATCTTGCAGCTTTTCAAATCCTTGAACTCGCGCAATATCTTCGCAGCTCGCAAATCACAGCGTTGCCGGGGTAATTTCCGATGTCTCCGGCTGATGAATGTTGACAGCTTACGACGCTCGGCTGGGGCTTGACATCTACGTCGTTGTTGTCGTAGTTCCTCGAGCGCGTCGCTTTTCCAAGGTTTGGCTGTCGCTTTGCACGATTCTTCCTGTGTATAGGCTGTTGCTGCTGCCGTCTAAACCTGTTCGATGCCGCGAAGCGCATTGCAAGCATATGTGGCCATATGTTCGTTCACGGATCCCGAAAACTTGACATCAACACCTGTTGGGCCAGGTGCTGGAGCCCGCCGTGTCTTCTGGCAGTTGCGGGCGTGGTGCTTTTGAGGCAGATCGGGGAAGCATGCGATGTCTCGCAGCCCGGCGATCAGATCCAAGGTTGAGATCGTCTACTGGACGGCGCGATGTATATAACATGTCAGTGCCGGTAGCACAACATCGATTCGCCGCTTCAGCCCAAGACTGGAACGAAACGTCCATTGCACATCGCGCGACTCGTTCACAGGATCGTCAACATTTCCAGCAATCAAGTTGCGTTCAAACAAGGAGTTGCTGAGCAAGTCGCCCCTGTGTCCAATGAAAGCTTGCGCGTTGAAGTCTCCAGCCGCGATCAATGTCCTACGGCGCCGTCTCGCCCTGCGTGCTTCAGGAGCCATCTGAAGGTAGCAATCCAAAAATATATCTCGTGGGTGTCCAGCGCGCGGCAGGTGCGCGCCCAGAACTGTCAGCTTCTGCAACCCGATGTTCACGTCCACGGCAAGCGCCCTTCCCCCGAAGGTCCGGCAATCCACGACAGTCATAGCATGTCTACGATGAGCAAGTAGGGCTACACCTGCGTACTTGTACTCAGCAAGGTGTGATACAAACCTCTGTCCTCCGACCAGCTCCTGGTCGGCTGTCTGCGCTCTCGTTTCAGTTATGCACACGACGTCCCGCGATGCATTGTCCAATTCGGCTAACAACTCAGCTTGCCTGTCATGAGTATGCGCACGAGCATTCTTACATATCAGCTCAAACATGCAACTGTTATCAAATTCGTTACCATCACCCCTCATGTCACTGAATTCTGTGCTGTCTCTACTTGCACGCGATCGGTGCTGTCCCGGAGGATGCCTTGGACTTGCTCTTGCCATTCTCCTGCCCATTGCCCTTCCCGTTCAATTGGGCCTTTTTGTTGGAAGCTTCTCCTGAGCCTTGGTAACAGCGTCGTCCAGATCCGGGGCCTGCAAATACACTCCCACCTGTCCCCGAATTCGACCTCGAATTTGCCCCCAGAGACGCGGGGCGCCAGCGCCTCGTCCGTGCCGAGGTAGAGGACGGCACTGTCGCGGTCCACATATACAGCAGATCTCTACCACCCCCACTCTAC